GAAGCCCCAAAACTGACACCGCTATCTCAGAAAATCTTTTTTTTGAAAATCGTTCTTCCCAGTTACCGCCCCGACACCGGTCCACGTTTTAACACCGATCCAAGTAAAATCCTTTCTGCGAATCTGCACCGACCGTCCCCTTGGAAACGCTTCCGCGGTACCAGGCGACGCCATTTTGGTTCCCGTGGTTCGTATCGCCCTGCCCACCAAAATCGTTAAACAATGCCGGGATTTTATCATAATATAAGGATTTTCCCATGCCGCCTGTAAAGAGCGATCAAAAGACACCTTAAGTGTAAAGAAACTTTGCCAAATACGGTCTTGTTTCTTTCTTGAATTGCAAAAATAATTCAGACCGTTTTTTTTTTTAATAAAAAATGAAAATCAACTATTTTTTCCAAATGTGTTAGTACTTTTATTTTGTTAAATACTCAAATCTGATATTATTGCCAAATTGTACATTTTGTTCCACATAATACAAGTACATCCATTCTGAAAATGATATCACTTAAAATCATGTGTCTATGAAAATCTACAGTTTTCTATTTTCATCTAACCAAATAAAACTTGAAACTAAATCTGATCAAATGAAAAAAAAAAATTAAAAACTTAATTTGAAAACATTTTATTTGGCGAGCACTGAAATACTGACCAATGAATGCATTTCAGATGTTCATCAATTCAATCAGAGTCGGGTAAATTTTTGAAAATTCCTGATTTTTTGCTTGATTTCTTGAGTTGGTTGAAAATTCATTTCTTTATCCGTAGCAATGAAAAAATTATATTTCTATTTCCCCCACTCCTGAAATGTCGATCCTTACTGTATAGAACTCTGTAGAGTCTCGTTTGAACTCAACGCGTAGGGCCAGTTTCTCGCATCACTTAACGCTACGAGTTTCTCGCTCGAAAATGTATTTGGCTCGAAACTCTACCGTTTTTCATGATTGTATCTGTCGGGCTTTTTTGAAATCCCTCCGGCGCGGTCCTTTGAAAATCCCGGGTTTCCATTGAAACTGGCTAACCAAAAAGCGTGGGGGCAAAGGAAAAAATGCAAAAAATCGAAACGAGATGTGGAGGGAAAATGTAAAAACGGTTTTGCACGATTTCCCAGGCAGGATCCTCCCTCCTCGAGGCATGGAGCAGCCGCTACTCAAGGCGAGCTCGGTGGGGCAACATCCCCCCGAATCCCCACGATAGCGGAGTTTCTCCCTCTCTCTTTCTCGCCCTCGACGCGATGGCATCTAAGAGGGTGGAAGTTGGCTCGATCGGGGCACGCGGAAAGCGAGAGGTGAAAAAGTTATTGCGAAGTGCGTCAGCGTTGAAGCGGGGGCGGCCGCCCCCGGGATGGGCAAGAAAGTTTCAAATGAAAATTGACGCCCCACCGGGAAAATACGTGAGCTTCGGGCGGGGGAGGGATCAATGGAAATTCTAACACCTGGCTTCCGACGTAATAAGCCCTCCCCCCCGACGTTCTTAGGTGAGCGGCCCGCCTAAACGAATTAAAAGTACAAGGGGGCACCCTGCCCCCCGAGGGGAGCCGTAAAAAGCCTCGCCTCGTCTATGCGGCGTATCGAAGTTTTTACATCGGTCCGGATAATCTGGCTTAATTAATTTAATTACCGAGACCGACGGCGAGAAGTTCGCCTGGAAAAAGTTCCCAGTCCCTCTTTCTCTCTCCTTTTCGCATCGACGCGAAATGAGGGGGCAGTTCTCGCGAGCCGCCATCTTTATTCCTAGTTTGCACCGGGAAAAAGGACGGACGGAATATGGAGGATGCTCTATTTCGGGTTTTTTGGCTCGCGAAAAATGTTCTCCCCATTTAGGGGAAAATCGTTTTCGTAGATCGGGAACTTACTGGGCTGCCGGAATTCCCTATTCGTCAGGGGATTAGGAATCGGGCACAAGGCGCCCGAGGGCGGGGGTGGGGACGCTTCGCGGGGGAGATTTCCGCCGAAATAAATGTCAGTTGTTGTTGTCGTTGCGAGAGGGGTAGTTATCTCGGGTCGCGACATTACGGGCGCGGGGACAAATGGCGGCTGGTGTCGGGGGCGCTTTTGTTCGGAAATTCGCGTCTCTCCCGGTCTCCTTACAAAGAGGAGACCATTTTTTTCCCGCCTCCCTCGGAAAGAGCCTCGCCAAAATGAAATGCGAAATTCTGGGGAAACGCGTCCTGCCCCTCGAACGCTCAAAACGTTCCCCTGAATTAATGCGCCTCCTCCCTCGGAGACGTATCTCGCACCTGCCAAATTTCCTCACCGCGACACATTTCCCATTTTCCTGAAAGGTCGAGAGGGAAACGTTTCTCCGTCGATTCTCTGCGGTTAATAATTCCATGTACCCTCGTCGGTGGTTTTAATTGTCAAGGAAATATGCCGGCAATGCGAGCACCGAGCCGATCGAGATGTCTTAACCGTTGCGGAATTAATTCGTCGCGTTAATTATTATTACTGCGGTCGCGGTACGCATCCTCGGATGTGAATGCGGGGGATGAAAAGGAGGTCGCACCGTTACGGGGGAGAGTACGTAGAAAATGGGGAGAAAGAAACGCCCGGGTGGAGAAATGTCGACGCCTTGTCAGGGTTGGTACCTTTCTACTTTCCTTCGTGGTGACACATTTTCCTGGGCCTTGTTTTTACAAAAAAATGCCCCAGTTCCTCGCTAATCGTGTTTTCGAGAAAAGATTCGTCGGGGGTGCGAAACCCCACCTGATACACCCCCGCCCGGGCGAAAGGGTTGTTCCTCGCGAGCTCTTTTAAGCCGGGTTTCCATAGCCCGGCGCTTTACAATTGGAACGTTAATTTCTTTTAATGACTCGCGGGGGTGTCCGACCGACATTATTAAGCGAGAAATATTTTTCCCTCTCCGAGCGGCAATATACATAACTTACCCCACCCCGCCAGACGTCCGTTCCCTCCCACGATTCAATTTCCCCCGGCATGAAAATCTCGGAAAAATGATTTCCCTGAATTAACCGGAGAAGCGGCCGACATTTCAAGAAGAAACAACTCTAATTACCTTAGGGAATTAATTGCGAAAGTATTTTTCCATCTAAAGATGGAATTTGCTGGCTCGTCGCGGGTCCTTATTACGTCCCTATTACTCCACCCTCGTGTCCCAATCAACGCCTGATTGGTCAATGAAATTCCGCGCATGTTCGGCCGTGGGGTTCAAAAGCAAGGATTCAAAAAGGGAGGGCTACGGGGGAATTCCTTGTCGTTAATTTCATCACCAGGAGTGAGCCACCCTTACGTCGTTATGGGCCAGTGTTTCTAAATGGAAAAGAAAATGGAATTAAATATAACGGGACGAGTGGATCCTAGCAGATATTAAAGGCGATTTATAGAAACGAGGAGTCGACAAATTTGACTTTGATCCGAGGGTAGGAGTTAAAGTCAACGATGGGGATGCACATCCTCGGGGCGGTGACAAGCTCCGGCCAGGGAATGTAGAAATGAAGCTTTAATAAGGTATGAGTCGGATTGGACTGGCGACCACCGCATTCCCAGCAGTAATTAACAAATCCAATTTTAATCAGCAGTCCAATCCGGGTCGCAGCCAGGGTGGCGCGTACTTTCCGGAGATAATCGTTATACCGGGACGTAAAACTGATTACCGCTCCGTTTTATGATCTAATTATTTGCACTACGCGGTCCCAATAGGCACATAATTCCCGACGCGCTGCGATTACGCGAGCCGAGATAATCGTTCGATTTTGCGCTTGGGCTCGCCTAAATAGAGGAGGATAAATAAAAATCTAGACCCGGCCTTCCTTCAAGCAGCCTGAAATTGCGCCGTCTGTGTAATTCGAAAACAATCAAGAAATGCCACGCGTCCGCCATCTTGCGAAGTCCCTTTTCACCGGAAATAACGTCCGCGCTAAATCCATCCTATTTCCTGCTCATTGGAGAAAACGCAACGGATTATCTCGCGAGCGAGTGCGGATGCTGCGGTACCTCCGCACCGTTTAATCGGTCGGTGATCCACCGCCGCTACAAAAGTGGACGCGATCGCGCAAAAATTGGCAATAACGGGGAACGACACGGATAAAAAGAAATGACACAGATTCGGTCCCGGATTGCGGAACCGGCGCGTGCAGCTGCAGCTGCGCCGTGCGGGGCCGCTGGGAATGCAAGTGTAGGCGTGGAATGGTAACGCGGAATCGTTCGCTGGAAGCATGGCTGCGGAATCGATGTCGGGATCCCTGGATACCGTAAAATAAATCCACCCTTGGATAGGTAAATCAGCTGCCGTAAAAAACTCTCTGATCACTCTGGGCAGGTAAACGTGTAAATATCGACAGGAGGTAGGCGAAGATAGATCCTGGTGCACTTGGATAAATAAATAGAACTTGAAATCGGCTTCGCAATTCCAAGATGGACGTTTCGGTGTCTCGCCCCAGGAGTGTCCATCTAGCTGAGATGATCGCATTTTTAATGGCCTGCAGACGTCCCGGTGGTCTGGCCGGCATCGTGTCTCCGCCTTTACGAGTCGGCGGGAAGAAAAAGAGGGACGTTTCTCCCTGTCCGTTCCTTTATATCGCACGGGAAGAGAAATTACTCGGCGGCGGGCACCCGGCAGCGTTTTGCAGGAAATAATTCCCGTCCGGAAGGGCCGCGATAGTAATTAGCGAGAGACAGGGAAGGACTTGTCCGGGGTGCAGGGAACAACGCTGCGACGACTGAGATCCGCGGGGTCTTAAATAAAACAGGGAAAAATAATCAAAATCACTCTTGCAAAGCGCCACGTCACCTGGCGTCAGCGACGACTGCCCGACGATGCGGTTTATATAAAAATGACGAATATCATTTTCATAAAGCACCGTGCCACCAGGCGTTGGCATCGACTGCCTGACGACGCGGTTTATATTAAATTAATGAAAGTTGTTGTTGTAGAGCACCACGTCACCAGGCGTTGGCATCGACTACCTTGTGACGAAGTTTATATAAAACTTACGAAAATCATTGTTATAGAGCACCATGTCATCGTACGCATTGTTGCAGAGCGCCACGTCACCAGGCGCCAGCAATGACTGCCTGACGACGCAGCAACTGGAGCTGATACAGCAGATCATGCAGCAGACACAGCAACAGCCCAGCACCCAGCAGCACGCGACGCCGGCGGCCGCCGTCGCGACGCAGACGAAGACCCCGAAGACCCCCGTGAAGACGACACCGTCTCCGGGTGCGACGCCGACAACAGGGACCTCCGGGAACACCGCGGGTGCAGGGTCCAGCCCCAAGCCCAAAGTCTGGAACCATGGCCAGGTGAGTGCCACACCAAGGGACACTTCACCTGCACTAAAAAGAAAAACAGTTGACTCGAATAAATATGCCCCGCGACAAAAAATTAAATACGTCCAAAGAAACGTCAAATAGTGTAAACGAAATTCGTTTAAATGAACAAAATAATTGTTTTTTTCAGTTGTGCATGATTCAGGCAACAATATATATCCATTGCACGTCAGCTAATTTTTTTTTTGAGAGTAGATCCCTCTTGAAGCTTCCCCAAATTTTCCAATGAACGAATGTATCGTTTGTACAGTATCGATACGCAACGACTCTTCCCTGCAATCATAACAAGTCTCGAATTCTTCATAATTCCATCGAAGTTGCCGAAATTTCTTGGGAAACTGGGAGAAATTGGTATTTTCGAAGCGTCAAGTGGCCAAAGAATAGGTGTATCTACAATATTCCTTAGATAGGTGCCCAGACTCCGGCAAGTTCCCGATCCTCCATCTGTCCAGAACCTAAGTGGAGGCAGCGTTAACGCAAGATCAGACGCACCTACCGGGTCGTTAATAACGTCGTAACTACGCCGACTGGCACCGATAAAGCATCGATTATGACGAGGTCGAGCGACTCGACGGAGGACACCCGGCTGACGAGGGGAAGAAAGTTCGAGCACCGTCGTCAGGGTGGGACGTCATCCAGAGCTGGTCGGCGCTCCCAGGGGGCATGGGGCGGGTCTGGGAAGTTATTAAATTCGAGTTCCATCGGTACGCGAGAACCCGGCGAGAGCACGCGCTTCAAAGAACGTTCGTTTCGGTCGTCGCGGCAAAGACGTCGCCGTAATCCACGTCGATTTGATTAAGAGAACCTCCTGGAGGGAGCCTCCTCTTTCCCAGGAAGGGGACGAGCTTTGGGGTCAGGGGGTGGCGGGGTGTGCCGACTGGTGAACTCTTCCTCCAAGACTTAGTAATTGCGCCTGAATATGCGAAAATCTCGACTCGGATGGCGTCCAGATTGGAAAACATTGAGGCAGGTCTTGGACCCTCCCTGGACCTTTAATTCCGCCAGCTGACGGCGCGAAGAGCTTTCACGGTTTTATTCCAAGTTTTTTAATTAACAGAGATACATTGATTACGCCCCTTTGTGGGCGGAGGGGCGCTGCGGGGGCTTCCTTTGCAAGTCAGATGCACTTTGTATGTAGTTCGCCTCGAAAGATCCAGCATCCGCGGAAGTCGTCGTCAGGGCGACGATATAGGGAGATGAAGCGAAGGCTTCCATCAGCGCTGATTAGTTTCCCCTCGGGATCGAGTGGTTTTAGCCGAGAGAGGTAAATCCCGAAACTTTCGGCTATATGGCGTTCATTAGGGCCAAGTCTTGACGCCGGGGTTGCCAAAACTTGACCCAATTTGAGCGACTAAGAGTCGCGCTCTCCCCTAGAATGAGTCGCCTTTGGTTTGTTAAAATGAAATCGTCGAGACGGAGTCCTTCTTTTCTGGATTTATCGTCGCGGAGACGAGACTCCGGAGTTACCCGGGCCCTGACGGGGCTTCATCGGCGTTGATTAGATTTTCCCTGGGTCGAACGGTTTTAGCCGGGAAACTTAAAGCCAAAACTTTCGGTTATTACGGCAGCTGCAAGGCTGACAGAGTGTCGAGTCAATCTAACCCAGGCTCTAATTATTCGAGGGTTCCCCGAGACCCGGGAAGAAGCTGTAATGCAAGTGCTCGGCAATGGACCCGACTAATTAATTACATCGATTCCTTGCCGTATTGAAACTCGACCAAAAATTACTCCGTCTCGAGCTATGAGAATTCCACGATTACAAGGTGCGAAAGGAAATTCGGCCTTTCTTTGGTGTACACGTCACTGGTTTAATTAAATTTAATTTCGTTTAACGAAGGGGGAAAAGGATACGATCCCTCATAATCCTAGATTCCGAATCCCTGAAACGCTCGTAACGGTTTAAGACGAGTCCTCGAGATAATCGGGGAGATCGGGCGAGCTCGGGAAGAAGGTTTAAATCCTCGATGATGGGGGACAACTCTTTGCGGTGGATTCGCAAATCCTCCGTCATCGAAGGATTAAAGAATGGTCCCCGAGATAAAAGGAAGTGTCCCGGAAAGGTGCAGACGCGATGGGACGAGCGGACGTGGCAAAACCGCGGTCGGATCGAGCCTCGTTATTTCCACCCGGGTGAAGTCTGCAGGATTTTGCAAGGGGTGGAGATCCCCTCTTCGACATCCTGCGTCCTTAACTCGTCGACCAGGACACGGGAAAAATTAAGATCCAAAGCCAATGCACGGGACCTGCCAGGATCCGGGATTTCAGCGCGGATGGGACTTGATCTCTCGACGAGGAGCCGAGACGAAAGGATAAAAGGATCCCTTTGAGGCCAGGTCCTGCAGGGACGCATCCGGAGCGAGACTCGCCTCGCCCTCGCCCTGGGCCCTTCCAGGCGAAGGACTTTATGTGGGATTACGAGTCGGACTCCTAAAACCGATGAGACTTCGGGTCGCTAATTGCGTCCTCTTTCTCGACGTCCGACCTTGTGCGAGATATCGTATGGAAACTGGGACCAGGAGCCGAGTCGAGTCGGACCGGGAGAGGAAACGGAGGAGACGGAGAGTCCCCTTTGAGCGAATCTCTTTACGGCTCGACGCATCGGTCGCAAAGGACCACTTCTATCCGAAAGGAGCGGCCGGCGATCACGCCCGAAGAGCGAATCTCTTCCGCTAGCCTAACTGCAAAATGTGATTGCCGCGATTGTTGCAGAACCCAGTGGCCCGACATACTTGGATCGCCGTTTGTCCACGGGGTCATTAAATTCCTCCAGAGGAGGATTTCTATCCGGGTCCTCCGAAAGACCCCAACCCACCCGGCCATTTTTCCCCGGATTTCGGGATCGCTAACGAACGCGTCGCCAAATGTCCCGGGAATTAAGGAACCGCGACAGGCGACCGAAAACTGGTTCGCCGAGTGGAGAACAAAGGAGCCGGAGAAAGGCTTGGAGGGCCATTGTCGCGCAACGGAACACACGCCGGACCCGGTGATCGCGGCCGAGAGTGGTTCCGAATGAAATTGGGTCAGGTCGGGCTCGGCGGGAACTGGTTTCCCACATTGTCGCAAAATTTCCCCGAAATCCGCCTACGGCCTGCGGCGTCGCAACTTTCGGTCGGCCATGTTGAAAGCGGAGCCCCGCGAAGCCCTGCCGAAGTCCGATATCACTTAATTAGGACCGGTACTGGTAATTGCGAGCGGCCATTAAACAATGTTACGACAGAGCGAACCCGGCCTGGGTCGCGGCGAAATCGCGGAATAATTCCACCTGCAAAGGTGGAATTAATTACCGACTCTCCGAGGTCGCGGTCACTTTTTAAACCCCGCAGGCGGGATTTCGTGGCGACAAAGGGCGGCCGCCATTTTATCTCCTAGGCGCCGCGTCGCCGGGTCGCGCTTCTTCATCGGGCGCGGATCGCGACTCGCTCAGTCGGTGTTTGGCCGCCGACGCAGACGGACCTTCGCTCGGAACTACGTCCCTAGATCGGACGTCGTTACCTCAACGGCATAATAACCAATGGCCCCGCGGGGTGGGTTTACCATGGAAAACGCCGATGTCCCTAAACAGAGTCGGGAAACTCGAGGAAATCGATCGATCGGTCTTTTAATATGCATGAGATCTCCGGGAGCGCTAGTGTACCGGCTCTCTTTCTTCGCCCTCGGGAGGACTCCCAGGGGCGCGGGACCAGGACCCCCGGGAATACCGGATGCTCGTCCAGGAAAATTGCCTGCAGTGTCTAAAGTTGCACCGCCAGCTGTCTTCCGAAGGGGTCGGTGCCCTCCTTCATCCGAATTGCACCCACGTACTCCGGGAATCGGAGATGGACTCGGCCGAAAAGTCGGCCATGACACCCGCCCGCGCTCTGTGAATTTAGATCGCGCCCCCCGATGTCTCCCCCTGCAGGACTTCCGGCGATCCTTTGGCTCCTTTCGGACTCCTTTCGGCGATCCTCCGACTTTTTGGAAAAATTCAGTGTTTTCCAGCCGGGAAACGTTTTTTCCGCGATCAAGTTCCGTTCAGTAAATTTCCCCGGGGGTGAATTTTGCTTCCCACCCTGAGAAAAATAAAAGAAATATGGCAACAACGTCCCGCGATTAAATACGTCTAAAGAAATGTCAGATTTAATTAAGAAAATTTGTTTCAATAGATAACAATTAGTTTAAATCAGCGATATCAATTTTTCTTTCCAAGAAAATAATTGTTTCTTGCAACCGTATATGATTCAGGCAACGATATGTATATCGTACAATATATTGGTTTCAGCTAACTAATCTTTTTTCTCGGTGCAGGGGTGGCATAAAACGCAACCCCTCGTTTCCCCGTAGAACGGGCGATATCGCGTCCCACTTGTGGCCTGCTGCATCTCCGATGTGGACGGTTCTACTCGCCGAGAATAATACGCAATCTCGCATGAACGGCCTTAACGTGACAAACGACGGGAATAAGAATTACAGCCGGTCGTTACGACGGAGCGAGCGCGAAACTACGGGGGCGGCTCGTAGTCGTTTGCACCGTCGTAAGTCCGCGAGGCCGGCCGACTGTTCCGCCGCGGAACGGCCGCGCCTCGGCGCCCCGTCCTCTCCGTTTAACCCGCGCTCCTCTCCCGGAAATTCTCCGGGAAAAGCGCGTTTTCCGAATGACCGCAATCGGGCCGTGCTCCCTGCACTTGAATCCTCCGCACCGTATTGCACCGCTCAAGGGGAACTCGGGTTGACTTCCGGTTTTATGGGGGGTTTGTTTCCCCGTGAGACCGGTCCCCAGCCCTTGCTTCCCTCGAGATAAAAATCCTCCACTTCCGGGAGTAAAGAGCGAAATTACCGATTCGGCTTTCCTCGCATTTTCTCCAATTTTCTGCAATTTTCGTACTTTTACGCGGAAACTTCTTCAGACGTCGAGATGTGTACAAAGGGATCTCGCAATTTCGAATCCGCCGAAGTAGGAAGTGCCGCGCGTTACCGGGGCGACTTTCGCGAGGCCC